ACAATCCTGAAAACATTCTAAATAAGTTTCGTGTTTCAGATTCAGCTGTTAGTTTTTTATCAATCAGTTTTGTGTTTGCGTGTTTCAGAGGAAGAGCAAAGTTCATTATCACGTGGCCGTCATCATCAACTATCTGGGTCACTGCATCTCTCTGGGAGCTCTGCTGCTCGCCTTCACTCTCTTCATGAGACTCAGGTAACACACCTGTACACCTGTCTGTCTATCTGTCTGTCCATCTGCACACCTTTCCATCTGTCCGTCCACCTGTCTGTCTGTCTGTCTGTCTCGTATCCTTCGCTCGTGCCATGCCCTTTTCTCTCAGCTCCTCCCAGCGAGGAAGTGTAAAGAAGAAACTTGAAGATGAGACGAGACGACGAAACGGAAAGTCGAGACGTGAAGAAGGAAAATGAAGATTAAGTGTGAAGACGAAACGTGAAGACGAGATGATAAGAAGAGATGTGAAAATGAAACATAAAGACGAAACATGAAGATGAAACATGAAGACAAGACATGAGGAAGGGATGTCAAAACAAAACGTGACGACGAAACGTGAAGATGAGACGTGAAAATGACACATAAAGACGAAATATGACGACAACATGTGAAATGAAACATGAAGATGAGACGTGAAAATGAAACATGAAGATGGAGGAGCTGAAGCTTCCAAATTGAAATCCTGATTCAGTCCTAAAAGATCATTCTGCTTTATTTCCTCCATTTCAATCATTTTGTGTTTGAAACACAAAACACAATCATCACAAGTGTGTTTGTGTTACAGCGTGTGTTGTGGCGAGTGTGTCACCATGCTCAGTGTATCTTCCAATAACTTGTTCCTCTGTTTACTGTTTTTGAGCAATGCTGCATTTAATTCCCCCCCATGTGCATGTGTGTGTGTGTGTGTGTGTTACAGGAGCATTCGCTGTCTAAGGAACATTATTCACTGGAATCTGATCTCAGCCTTCATCCTGAGAAACGCAACCTGGTTCATCGTCCAGTTGACAATGAACCCTGCTGTTACAGAGAGCAACCAGGTAACACACACACTTCCATCTGTGTAGCTACAACAAGCAACTCTAAAGTCTGAAGATCTGAATAAGTGGACGCACTGAAGAGGAAGAACTGATCAGCATTAACTATTCACGTATTTGCCGTTTTCTAAGTACGATCTAAACCACCCGAGAACTTCCTGATCCACTGTGTCACATGGTGTCCGGTCAGGCATTGTAAAGATAAAGGTGTGCTGCAGGTTATTGCGCCTCTTCCTTTCAGGTGTGGTGCAGGTTGGTGACTGCAGGTTACAATTACTTCCATGTGACCAACTTCTTCTGGATGTTCGGTGAAGGCTGCTACCTGCACACCGCCGTCGTTCTCACTTATTCCACCGACAAACTGAGGAAATGGATGTTCATCTGCATCGGCTGGGGTCAGTACATCTATCTGTCTATCTATCTATCTATCTATCTGTCTATCTGTCTGTCTATCTGTCTATCTATCTATCTATCTATCTATCTATCTATCTATCTATCTGTCAGCTCACCTGTCCACCTGTCTGTCTGCTTACAGGTATTCCGTTCCCCATCATCGTGGCGTGGGCTTTCGGGAAGCTTTACTATGACAACGAGAAGTAAGTCACATGATCAGATGATGAAACACCTTTGCATGTGCAGTGACAGTTTCTTTTTATGTGAAGAGTTTTCATTTGTCACTAATCACTTCTGAGTCCAATGTCCAAACAGGGGTCGAGCCATCCTTGTTCTTAACTCGGTTACCTCCAGGTTTTGATTTACAACATCCAATCACAGCACAGGGCTTATGATGACATCATCACTAATCAGAGGGCTGGTTGTGTGTTCATTGACAGGTGCTGGTTTGGCAAGAGGGCCGGGGTTTATACAGACTACATCTACCAAGGTCCCATGATCCTGGTCCTGCTGGTAAGAACACCGCCAAGCCACCTTAAAAAACAGCCGGTCCACCTTAAATACAGCCAGTTAGTCCACCTTAAATACAGTCAGCGAGTCCACTTTAAATACAGCAAGTCAGTCCACCTCAAATACAGCTAGTTAGTCCACCCTAAAGACAGCCAGTCGACCTTAATTACATCTAGTCAGTCCATTATAAATACAGCTAGTCCACCTTAAATAGAACTTGTGACTCCACCTTAAATACAGCTAGTCAATCCACTATGAATACAGCTAGTCCACCTGAAAGACAGCAAGTCAGTCCACCTTAAATACATCCAGTTAGTCCATCTTAAAGACAGCCAGTCTACCTTAAATACGAACCCTATTTTCTAAATTTATAATATAATTTATCAATAAACTCTATTTGACTGTCTGCTGTGAACATCGTCGATCTCTTCTTCTTCTCTCCTCAGATTAACTTTGTCTTCCTGTTTAACATCGTTCGGATCCTGATGACCAAACTGAGGGCGTCAACAACCTCAGAGACCATCCAGTACCGGTAGGAAGAGTCATAGAAACAAGTATCGGTACACTGGATGTGTTTTCTGTATTTCACCAGAGAAAACTTTAAAAAGTGTATTTTAGGTAAATTTTCAGGGCTCATATGAGCATGTGTGATGGTTGGTGGTCAGAACATGTTATAGCAAATCAAAGGTCAAATTTTTACCTGCATTTGATACCAGGATCATCTCCGAGACACGATTCACTCTGTGGCAAAATAAATAGCTGATAAGTTCATATTCTAACTCTGCTGAATGTATCTCATGGCTGTAAAATACAGAAAACACTTTGGTGTTCTCATGTTTAATAGAACCGTTAAAGCTCATGAATCAAACCAGTTTGCAGCTTGTTTGACAGTCTTTAGATTCTCCTCTGATCGCGTTCAGTTCTGGTTCTGTCCATTTGTTCTGTTTCCATCCTCAGATTGTGCACAACAGTGATGATGTGTATTTTGATACCAACACGTGTCTTTTCTACAAAAAATGCTGCTGCAGGAATTTTCATGGTTTTAATTCACTCAGGAAATAGAATCTCAAGTTTTACATTTTGAACGTGTTAAAACGTCCAACCGCAGGTTTGGGAGAATCTACAGGCCTGATCAGTGGACCTGTGGTGAGAGTGGGCTGTGATTCTGTGGATGCTTTACCTGCAGCAGGTGATGATGTCAGCTGACAGTCTAACGCTGTGCTGTGGTTGGTCGATGCAGGAAGGCGGTGAAGGCGACGCTGGTGCTGCTGCCTCTGTTAGGAATCACCTACATGCTGTTCTTTGTGAATCCTGGAGGAGAAGACGAGGTCGCTCAGATCGTCTTCATCTACTTCAACTCCATCCTGGAGTCCTTCCAGGTTCACTTCTGTTCTCACTTTACCTACACGACATGCAGCTGGTCATCTCAGATTCATGCATCACCTTCAAAACCACAAACTGAATCAGAAAAGTTTCTACAGACACCAAATCTGACAGCACTGACAGTATTTATATGAAATCAAACATGTGGAACTTTTCCAAGTGAGGACTCACACTCTGAACTCAACCATACATTTAATATGAATCAGTAACCGAAGAAAGAAAACTTCTTCCTGTACCTCCGAGTTAGAACAACCATGTTAGCAACCGAATGACCATCAGGTTAAACCTGACACCAGGGTTCAAAGACATCCTGCTCGTAGCATCTGTTAGCACTGCCAGCTGCCTGCTAGCATTGTTAGCTTTGGTTAGCTGCCTGTTAGCTTCTGTTAGCACTGCTAGCAGCTAACAGTGTCCCTCTGTGTGTCTCTGCAGGGTTTCTTCGTCTCTGTCTTCTACTGCTTCCTCAACAGTGAGGTAATTTCTGTTCCCTTGTTCTTTGTGGGGTTCTGCTGTGTGGCTTTACACCATTTACACAATATTTACCTGTGTATCCACCTGTCTGTCCGTGTACAGGTGCGCTCTGCAGTCAGGAAGCGTTGGATTCGTTGGCAGGACCGTCACTCCATCCGGAGCCGGGCGGTGCGTGCCACGTCGCTGCCCACCTCCCCGAGCAGAGTGTCCTTCCACAGCATCAAACAGTCCTCCAACCTCTGACACACCTGCTGAACTCATCGCTCACAGTCCGTGATGTGGCTGCACTCAGCCAATTGGAGCGCTGCATTTGGACCAACTGATCAAATCAGCCAATCACAATGCAGGACACTGATTCATGGAGCCGATCAGTCAGGAGTCTTGCTGGCCCCGCCTCTCTTTACCTTCTGACCAATCACTGGACTCGACAGCTGCTCCCACATGGTCATGTGACACATCAGGCAGCTGGACTGTGTTGAATAATCAATAATTGTATTTATTAATAATGAGATAAATGTGTCTATACTTATAATTAATATGTTTATTTATTTATTTATTTATTTATTAACAATGAACGACATCTGTCAATACTGTAATATTGATCACCAGCGTTCTTTTAATGACCAGAGCTAACAACACAAACACAAACACAAGTACACACACACACACACACACACACACACACACGCACACACACGCACGCACGCTGCCGTTGATCTAAAACCCTTCCACGGAATCAGGTTCCTGAACGCAACACAAACACACCACCATGGGGCGCTGCCACCAACTGAAAATGTGAATTCTTTGGTTTCTTTAATTAGTTTTCAGACAAACTCACCGGTTCTGTTCTGATTCATTAAAGCACAAATCACAATATTCTGACCGGGTTCTGGCAGAATTAAAATTACCGCAAGTGTTCTGACAGCAAATCTGGAAGTTAGAAAGAAAGAGGAAAATTACAACAAATTGGGTTTTGTCTGCAAATTATTGCAAATTCAGAGGATGAAAGAACACAAGAACCGAGAACAGGGACCCAGGAGTTTCTGTTCCTCTGTGTTTGTTGAACATTTGCACTTTGATGCTGTAAACAGCAGCTTCACACGAACTCTTTATCATGAATTGTAATTACTGGCCACTGTAAACCTTTATTAAACCAAACAGAGCCGCCTCATACACACCAGTAGTATCACCTGTAACCATAGCAACCACAGTGACTATAGTAACCGTAGTAACCACAGTTTAGTTAGTAGGTCTGAAGGAAACACTCAGGATGAAACACAAACTGCTTTTTATTACTGTGCCTGAAGTCTGAGTCTGTGTGTGTGAGTGTGTGTGTTACTGTGTGTGCATCTAATGTGAGTGAGTGTGTGTGTGTGTGTGAGTCTGCGTATGTATATGTGTGTGTGTGTGTGTGTGTGTGTGTGAGTATCGATCTATTGATTCAGAGCTCTGATCAGTGGCATTATTAGCTGGTAAAGCTTGATATGTGATTTTGTAAATGTCAGATTGAAATCTCCGATGTTGTTTCAGGAGGAGCGCTTGCTTTGTGCACCACACACTAGCATAAGGGAGGGCCGGGTGGAGTTTAATCTGACACTGTACATTTAGATGTGACCCTTCTGTATCCGCTGATGTCTGATATGTACAAAATAAATTCATCCTCAGGATCAATGTGGAGTTTCCTCAGTGACCAGGTGAACACGCCTGACAGTCTGCTTCCTGACAAGCAGCCAACCACAGAGCTTCTCATTGGCCGCTTCTTAATACCAAGAGAGTTCAGATGTACGTACTTTGCAGTTTGCAGTTGATAGCTGACTCGGAGAAACAAACTCCTGAAGCAAAGGACGCAGTTTGGTCAGTTTGTAACAGAATTCAGTTCTGTTGTGTAGAGTGGTCTGATTTGTCAGCTGTTGTTCGTGATGCAGTTGAACTACACTGGAGCATAGTTGGGGATATTTCATGATGTGGATATTTCATTGGTATTGTTTTGTCCCCGGTCTAGGGGTGCAGAGGCACAACATAAAAGAAAGGTGGAGGAGGAATAAGTATAGGTAGTTTAGTGACACAGAAATTCCCACTTTTATACAATTCCAAGTTGAATTTACAAACCAAAGAACAATTAAAACCGCTTCAGGGTGGACTAAGGCCAACACAACAAACAAAACAAACTATCTAGAACCCCAAAAATTAACTAAACCCTGGAAAGAACATAAATAAACAAAAACCCATTTGTTAAACCTACCTCCTTAGATGGCACAAATAGCTCGTGCCTCAGATCCAAGTTCTAATAACAGAACAGTCCAAGTTCTAAATATGAGACCATAAACACTAATAAACACTCAGAAGTACGAAAGATGCTTTCAGGGACAACCAGGGTCTGCTGATAAGAAAGGTGACTCCCACACAGGCTGGCAGGAAGAAGGTGCTTATGTGCTGCCCGCTCTGCTGGTCCAGCCAATCCTCAGCCTCCAGATGTCCAAATAGCATGGTGCCTCAGGCCTGCTCATGAAAGAAACAAAGATATGAGACAAGGAGAGAGGTCTCGCTCTCCCACAGAAACAAACATCAACATCGTTTGCAGCAACATCAACACCATCCACACCAACATCATTCATGGCAACAACACTGATCAGTTTTATGGTATTCATGTTTTACCGTCTCTTTTCATCGTCGACACAGAAGCTTTGCTGGTCGTCGCTTTGATACAAACTGATTGGAGGCATGTTGGATGTTTTCAGGACAAAAAAGGAAAAGCGGTAAAACAGTGGGAAAAAAATGCTCAAGCTTTGATTGATTAACCACTAAAACTAGCAGCAGCTGGAAGGACACTCAAGATTCTTTTTGTTTCTTTAACTTTTGTGTGAGGGTTTCAAGTGTTGAACAGAAACCCTGAATCTATCATTTGTTTGTATGTTTGTCTAAAGGTCCAGTTAGACGTAAACAAACTGCGATCAGCCTGTCGCATGTCTCCGTCTCCATTGTCATGGCAACGGGACACAAACTCTGCATGACGGAGCCCACAGCGTTAGCCTTCATTAGCAGCTCCATCAGCACCACTGTTTTATGTGCTGCTGTCACCATGACGACGGCAAACAACAGAGGCTTCTTGTTTCAAGGTGAACAAACAGAGACGTCGCTGCTCGCATCAGTGTGTTAAACCACGCATTTACATGATTCACACACACTCAGACACCAGGAACAGGTTTTTCAGACATTCTCCCAGAAGATGAGCTGAAGTTCAGACTCTGTCAGCAGGGGGCGCCACGCTGCCTCATCACACCTCACGCTACATGTTTCCACTGAGAACATGAGTCTGTTATTCCTCTCTGAGTATTCTAATGTGCTTCAGTGTGAAGCGAACTCGATGATGAATCAGTTCCTGTTCTGGTTCCTGCTGTCATCAGGTGAAGAAAGATCCAACGACCCGACAGGACCATGACTGATGATAATGTTACATCAAAAACACCAGGACGCCCCGAAACATCGCAGTCTGCAGATACACGACCTTTTACAGTCACATGACCACGTCTCCGTGGCAACGCTGTCTCAGGTTAATGGGTTGAAGCCAATAAGCAGAGGTCAGCTGTGATTGGCTCCGAACATGATTCATTTGACCTCCTGACCCCGCCCCCTGTCTGTGACATCACAGCTGTGTCTGCAGCTGGTTGGATGAAGGTTGAAGTCTGCTGCATAGTAACTTCTAATACTGATACAGAGTTACTGGTTTAATAAACTGCAGCATCATCTTTTACTGCGGCTGTGTGATGTTTTCATTCTAGTTTGTCTCTTTGTGTTGTTTTGTCTCGTTGTATTGTTTTGTGTCTTTGTGTTGTTTTGTCTCATGTGTTGTTTTGTCACTTTCTACTCATAACCAGGTCCCACCTATCGACTGCTACTATGGAAACCAGTTAATCCGTGCTACTTCCTGCACCTGCAGTGGTTTTAATGTTGTGGCTATTTGTGTAAACAGATTAAAACTGGAAAATAGACAAAGGAAAAAAATTAACAGCACAAACAAACTGACAAACGATGAAAAAAAGGAAACCATCAAAAATACATTTCAAATGATTCAATGGTCACATTTTATCATCAGAAATGTGTTTTGTTTTTTATAAATATCTGAACACAGTCACCAAACTACTGTCTGAAAACATGGAAATACTATGAATGAAAATCAGAGAAACAGAAATATCAGCTCTCACCTGATCAGGTCAGAGTCACAGTGACACCTGGTGGACACACTGAGGCTCTGCAGCACCAGCAGGATAATAACACTGTTATGATATTTGATTGTTCTCGTCACTCAAAGTGCACTTATTGAAGATCTTTCAAAGCTTTCAGCTGCATCTTATATGACCTTCTTCAGCAGGTAAAATTGCTTAAACAGATCCTGCAGTCATATACATATTAAATAATTTATACTTTGATACCTCATGTTTCATATTGAAATGTGTACATTGGTGGAAAACATTCATCTTTCAGATGAGACCTTGAATTAATAAAACACCGTCGACACTCAGGAACATCTGGACACATGTGCATCAGACAGATGTTCAAACTGACAGAGCGTCTTCAGCTCAACACCAAACTCCAGTTAAATTTCGGACTACTCTACATTCTGCAGGATTTACACCCGACAGACAACGTACCTGCAGGTGTCCACACACCCGAATGTACAAAGTTAACTCTGTGCACCGCTGTTACACAATGTCAGAGGTAGAAACTCAACACATCCAGAACACACTGGTGTTACAGTAGCACAAACAGTGTAACACAATCTGCTGCACAACGCTGTTGACTCTGGGCTCCAGTTACTATATGAACCACAACCATCAACCACATATATCAGTCAATTACAACAATACTGATTGAATTTCCCTTCTGGGATAAATAAAGTATTTTTCATTTCATTCATTTAATTTCATTCAATACAACGACTACATGAAAAGTCTATGTATTACCATAGCAGGTGCCCCGCAAGCACAACTGAACACAACTCAGAACCACAATCAGCTTCATGTGAACACATGGAAGAAAATTTGCTCAAAGTATGAAGACAAAATATAACACATGTATTTAAGCAGCAGGTTAAAGAAAGAGAACGAGTGTTTACACACATCTGTACAGCTACAGATGTGTGTTAAAGGTTAAAGTGACCAAAGTTTGGTGCAAAATGAAGAATAAACACATTTAATGACACCTTACACACATGACATTGATGGATGATCGTGCAGTCACTGAGTTCTAAGATGGTGGTCGTGTCCAGACGCTGCCACAGTGTTTTTTACTTTTTCACTATTATTTTCACTTCTGTAACTCCAGTTTTTTCCAGCAGAACAACATTTGTCTGCAAACATAAGAAGGCTCGTTACAAATAAGCTTTCTAACTTTTTTCGTGAAGATCAGAAGTGGCCAGCTGAGATCCTGCATGACGTTGAGGGAAACAACAACAACGGCGATGCAGAAACAGAGGAAGGAGCTGACAAGGTGGTTCAGAACAGGGTCAGGACTCAGGTCCATCGTCCAGCCCAGTATCCTTCCTGTTAATGTCCAGTCCCTGGAAAACAAGCTGGATTATCTCAGGAGTTGGATCAGATACCAGCAGGACATGAGGAACTGCGACACCATCTGCCTGAATGGAATGAGCCTCACTGAGCAGATTCCAGACCAAGTCATCAGAGTCCTTAATCAGTGTTCTGTGAGGACAGAGCAGAAGCATCTGGTCCAAAAGTGTTGGAGTTTGTTTAATGATTAACAACAGCTGGTGTAAACACCAGAACTCTCTCCCGCTCCTGCTTGCCACATTTGGAACATCCAACCATCTACCTTGAATTCACCTCAGTCATTGTTACAGCGGTTTACATCCCAACACCAGCCGACACTGACCCTGCACAATCGGACCTACAGGAAGTGATGTGTTGGCACCACAGCAAACACCCGAAAGGAGAACATCAGGAAGGTGGTGCAGAATTTTTATCACGTATTTCACCAGAAGGAGCAACATACTGAACCACTGCTACGAACTGCTCAGAGCTACAAAGGGTTCATCTGCCTCCACGCAGAAAGTCAGACCTGCTGCCGTTGTCCTTCTGATAAGATAGAAACACAGAACAGCTCAGGAGGAAGGTGTTAGGACATCTGCTGGAGGAGCAGGTTAGAACAAACAGGATCGTAGAGGACCAACACCAGTCGACTGTTTCTATGTTCTGACCAGAGGAACAAGGAGAACAAAGATAGACTCAGTAGAAGCTTCTTTCCTGTCAGGACTGTACTCTGATCAAATCTAAATAATAGAACCTGAACTATTCAGCTGCAGAACGCTGGCTCAAACAAAATAAATATGTAAATAACACACACACACACACACACACACACACACACACACACACACACACACACACACAGACTGTAAAT